AGACGAATTTTAAGTGATAACAATATTAATAAATATTTGGCACATGAAAATTAGATTTTTTAATACCTATACATTTTTATAACGTATAGATTTCAATCCTGAAAAACTGGAACGAATACAGATTTCACCAGAGAATAAGCAATATTAACCAGCAAAAGAGTTTCTAGCCAGTGGCACGAAAACTAATTAATGTTCACTGTCGAGGAGCCTCCGAACACTCTTCGATGCTTGACAGTATTCTTCTTTCACAATGATGTTCAAAGAAATATTTCACTTTACCTTTTTCATAATACCAGCGACAAAATCTGCTCCCGTAGTTGTTCTTTTTTATTTTACAGCATGCCTCCGTAAAGCTCATCCGCAATGCACAGATAAATAAATCGTATATTGGTACGCTTCGTCGGCCGTATTTTCAATCGAATATTTCACGGATAAACGCCTGCCCCCCAATACTTTAATAGAGTTCCCGCTTCGGGCGTAAAATAAAACCGCTATCCAATTACGTTGAAACAATTACGATCGCAGGTCCGATGAGCGGGCCACATAATTTCGCCGGGTGGAACATCGAAAGTTCAAAACCGGTTATCAGAGGGGGGGGGTAGGAGGGGGTGGAACGGTTTCAAAAGTATCCCCGTAATGAGGAAAGTTTTCTCACCTAACGCCGTGAAATCGCACACACACGAACCGGCCACGCGTCTCCCACTCCCACCATGATATTACGATCATCGTAATTTCGTGTGCCTACTTTAAAGGGTTAGTTTTGGGGGAAAGGGGAACAGCGAGTCAAAGATATCAGGGGAACACTAGTTTGCTCGCCACGACGGGCCGAGTCTTTCGATTATTCCGGCCTCCTTCGGCTCCGGTTTCCGTTGCGCGTGCACGAAATTGGCGAAACAGTTGCAAACTCGCGACACGGGGCCACGGAACAGGCGTCGTCGATCCGAGAGATTACATCGGAAACTCGCTTTCTCGCTCTGGGATTGCCTCGAGTTCAACCCCGGGAACTACGTTTTTATTTCCGGATACACGAGCGAAATCGAAGACTGGAAGCAACGGTATCGCGTTATTTTACGACACCTTCCTTCTTTTTTTTTTCCTTCTTGACAGCGCATTTTCTTGAAAGATGATCCACAGAAAGTCGCTAGACGACAGAACAGCATATTGTGTAAACTGTCAATCGGACAAAGGCGGCTATAGTGCAAATGTAATCACGTGTATACAGGGTGTTCCGCTTAAAACAGACCTCATAAATGTCTTCCCTATCTGTGATCATACGAGAAATATTTTTTATGTAATTTAAATGGTTTCAAGAGACGAATCAGATGGTGGACAAAATTATATAAGTGAATTTAAAATTTTTAGAGTTCAGGGTCACTGTTATACATGGATAAATGAATAATAATGATATAATATATAACATAGAACCGGTATCGCTTGTGTTCCTTTGTGTTTACAACCTTGAACTAATACTTCCAACTTCTCTGTGTCGATAACAAACTAATACGATCATGATATGAATCGCTAATAAATAATAAAAGTTGATTTCACAGGGAAAGGATTGCTTTTAGGACCTACGTTGATTAGACACTTTTTACTCCTCTCGTTGAATGCTATTGTATATCGGATCTTCTTTCTTTATCATCCTGTACATCTGATTACGTGGCTCCTATAGCATACGAAGCGGTCGGTATTTATGGTTATCCGGATTTGCATAATAAGGTTACATAAGTCCAGCTACGGTGGAATTTCAGGGACATTGTACAAGCTATAATAGCCTCGTCGAACGGGCTCTTAGTTCTCGGAACTAGTTTGTTAAGATCTCGCCAAGATACGAAACCGAGGTACCACGACGTTATCCCCATGATCGCGGGTGGAAGACATCCTCTACGGTTTCATGGCAATTCCCATTCGAGAGATTAAGAATGGAAGATGGCAGTGGGGTGGGGGTAGGAGGGAAGGAGGCTAAGTTAGTGGATGCTGCGGATAGCCGTTTCCAATTAAGCTCTCGCCGGTGTTGGTGGGAGCTAGAACCCTGAAAAGCTCCGGGCTGGTTTGCGTGTGGATCCACATCTGCGTTCGTTGCACGTACGCTTTCCTTGGGCGCACGGCTTGTAGAGGTACAAGAGCGTAGCTGTTCCCGCGTTCTACAAAGTCTTTCTTGCCCGGCCGTGCGCGCGCGCGCATAGGTAATAGCCTCCCGCGGGAATTCTCGGAACATCGGTTCGGCCGATTCACGTCTAAGAAGACCGATGGTTGCTTGAAACAATGTCAAAGGGAATTAGGGGTAGCGCGTAATGAAGTCGGCGTTTTAGCGAGCTACGCGATTTGCATTTCGCCGAGAGACTTCATCGATCTGAATATCAACGAGTATCTCGTTTGGGGAGCGCGCGGTGGTTCTCGATAATAAGTTTTTAACGGTAATCAGGTTGGTCGAATTGTTCAATCCCTGGGGCGCAAAGATGTTTTATCGTGGATGGGATTATACTGCTTGGCCGATTTTACAGTGACCTGTACTACTTGCTTGCTGAAGGATTCAATCGTACTCCCTTGATGGTTAGAAGTTTGTTTTACAGTATTTGTGACAGAACGGTACTACTAACACGTTAGAAATTTTCTTGTACTAGTTATCGATCTATAAATACTGCTGTATCACTTGACTGACACTTACCTGGTCTGTACCAGTTGATCAAACTGAACTACTTCATTAGTGGCAGAGACATATACCCCTGATCTATCTATGTATAAGGGAGGCCGGGGTTGAAAGTAATAGTTTTTGGTTTTCATGAAATGAACAAGGCTATATTTCAAATTGCCTTTTTTTAATTAGCGCTGTCTCTTTTATTTAAAATGGTAGAAGACCTGTTACTTTCAATCTCGATCTCTCCTATGCTCCTTTATAGAAAATAAAACCTGGATTTCTATTAATATTTCTGCGAGTACCTTCAACCAGGATAAACGTGTTGTACCAAAATCTCCAAAAAAAAGTTGAAGCAACAAAATCATTTATTTATTCTAGGCTACCAACATTTATATAATTCTAAGTGAATCCCTTTACTTGCGTAACTTTGTAAACATACCCAGACCCAATGGAGGGTATCGTTTGTAAGCAATGAAAGTTTCCAAGCTATCCCACACCCTATAGACACCGGTCAAAACGATCAGGGTAAACACTGAAGTTCATCTTTGTCTATCCACCTCCGTGTCAGATGTATTCGACAGGACAGGAACAAAGTTACGCGAGTAACTTCTTGCTGATCGCGGAAAGTTGTACTTCTCGATATCTCGCGGCGTTTCTGGGTAACTGCGACGGCGCGAGTGCAGACATTGGCAGACACAAATACACGTAGAGACACGGACGCGAACACTCGGTTCGAAATATCGGATTCGGTATTACACCACGACGCGAACGGTGGTCCTTTTCAGGTGGATTCCAGGATTACAGGAAACATCCGGGATTACGGTGCTCGGGTAGATTCTGGAGTGTCATATCCCCCCTGAACTGGTTCCCTTCAGAGATATTAGATGGAATCGCTGTAATTGCTAGGGCGGGCTAAAGCATTAAAACGGGTCATAGGAAGCGCTCCGTGAACCAGAGATAGATTGATTGATAGTCATCGCTTTCAGTTCTGAATGGAACGTCGATTATCTGGCTTCGAGGTACGTGGAAGATGTAAGAGTCAGCCGAAATCTTCTCGGACGACGATAAATGTGGTGAAACCAACGTCGTTACTTCGATCTAACTACTGTTCGGGCAAAGATAACTCAGAAATCTTCTTCCTTGCACAGAATTCAGTTAGTGTTTTCTTTCTTGAGGTTAGTAGGAATTTGACAGAATGTATTTTACGAGCATCATCAGGAAAAATGGCGTGCGAGAAGGGCGCCTTGATAAATTTATTTTAGGCCTATTGAAATAAATATTAAACTGAATTTGGCATAAATTTCAGTAATTCCCAAGACCAAGTGGTAGGAGGCCCTTCACCTACGCTGCTTTTTCCCCAAGCAGAAGCTCTTTGCTCGTCAGTGTACATTCAAGTTGGATTCCTAACGGAATTATAGCGGTATCTTGATTTCTATAAACTACTTTATCAATCTTTTTCATATTACATCATTATTTACATTTTTTTTAAGTCTCATCGTATGCATAACTTCTTCGTCATTTCACACAGCCATTCTCGAATATTACCTTCGGCTGTATTGAACGAGAATAGAGGTGTTTCTAGGTACACCGGGAAGGGAGGACAGGCGAGGCGACGGGTGTCGGACAAATTGAGTAAATTTTCATGGTCAGTACGGTCAGGAATGAAAATTGGCCCGAAATTAGGGTACACTAATGGCCTCCGTAATTGATATTGGATGCACAAGCGTGGGCTTGCGCGACCTCTCTCATTGCCTGATATGATACACGCTGTTTCCTATACATTGTTACCATAAATGGCCCCAAATGCTTTTAACACCAGTACCAGCCACGACTCGTTTTCATCCCTAAATTATATAGTACGCGCCTTACACGGTACACTCTTTGAACGGATTACGCGAACTGTACGTAATCGGGGATTAAACGATAGGATATGCTTCTACCTCGTCCCGATTAATTACATAGAACGCTGAATTCTACCATGTGAATAATTCTTGTAACTCATGTTAACACATTATCTACAGGCTGTTAATTAGTAGATCCAACGATGGACAGCCGAGGAAATATTATTGAATAATTCAAAGACAGGATCAAGCTGCATACCTTCGTGGAAAATAGCAAGAACTCTAATAGAATAACGTTCTAATTTCTTCTTTAACCCTGATCTAAGATAAATTAATAGACTTCTTATCCACAAGCACTAAAATTTAAAAGTCTATTAATAGACTAACGATCAGTAAAGTATAAATTCACTTGTAAATCGAATACAAAATAATATATTGGAGTATAGCGTTCAAAATGTTGTTTAACATTGAAATTTCATTATTTTCAAGCGATTACAAATGTTACCTGTCTTCTGTTGCAGATCACGTGGGTGAAGCGACCGGACAGGCGGTTATTAACCGTCGGTACTCGTACCTACTCGAACGACAAGCGATTGTCCGTGATCTATTCGAGCACTGATTGGGCACTTCAGATACGTGCTGTTACTCTACAGGATGCAGGCATATACGAGTGTCAGGTACGCAACGAGAGCCGGTCTATCCCCAGGTGCAATAAACGTACCGCATTTTCTTCATCGCGATAGCGTTGCACTGTGCTTGCAACATTGCCCCATGCATATCATTCATTCGACCGTAAAACCGCGTGCGGCCCCGTATCCTAAATTTATGACACAATTTTACACTGACTTTTACGAAGCACTTCCTTCCGCGCGTGCAAACGTTGAAAACAAAATGAGGATACAGCTTGATACGGTGTCAAGAGTGTGAAATGTTCATTTGGATGTTAATGTGACGACGATCGTTTTAACCCTTTAACGTTCAGATCCTTAAATCGTTATTTCAAAATTATAAGACTGATATAATATATATTGTATTTAGGTATTTTGAAGTTAAAAATATCGATATTAAACAGACCTATTTTTTTTTCATTTTTCTTCTTTTTATATTTATTTTTGAAGTGCATGCTTGAATTTCTAAACTGAAAACGTGAAGATCTACTTAACATCAGTGAAACCTATGAATCCTTACTGGCAAAAGTTAGATATTAACGGGTAACAGAATTTGACTTTTAGAATGAATGTTGTACCGGTGCAAAACTGGGCGTTAAAGGGTTAATCACCACCGTTGTGGTACGGTAGTGTATGTTAGCCCCCGCTGTGGAACAGAAATATCAGGTGAAATGTCAGCCGCAAGACTGGTAACGTATAACAATAGACGTTTAAGGCCAGGAAAGATCAGAAATGTATTTAACCTTCGACCCTGTCTGTTGCATGAAATGCTATCCGCCGGACAGTAGAGAAGCTCAGTTTAGAAAATGTATCGACCTTTACGGTAATGGCTCACTGAAAATTTCCTGTTTTCAGTACCATCGAGTTCAATTACAATATCTGATTATAGAGAAACAACATTTCCATTAAGCTCTTGATGGTTTCAGGTTTCCTTCTAACCTCCTCCCCGAGGGTAAATTTACTTAATTAACCGCAGCTTCGCTTTCCGGATCTGGAGTACGTTTTGTATTACGTGGATACAATTTTAGGGATAATCCAAAAGCGCAGAGATGATATCTTGAATTCGGTAAAAGTATATCTGTACTTATTATACGTCGTTTATACTTGTATAAACGATCGACTTGTATCACTCTGGCAAGTGTTTCTGACTACTTGTCTGGCGTATCACTGTCTTGTACTACTTGATCGAAGACCGACTCAGCTTGTCCCTGAAGAGTCTATAAGGCTCTGATCACTGAAATTATTTCCACGTCATATGAAATATTATAGAAAACACACAGCCTTTAATCAGGAGCCAATATTTTAGATATTACTCTTCCATTCTTGACACCGAGTTACATTTAATATTAAAAAAGGATAATTTCTCGTCAGACTGTATCGAGATTCCAGCCAGTCCGTGTTGAAATTTCAGATTACGTCGCATCCGGTGCAGCGGAATTTCGTCCACTTGAAAATCACAGAGGCGTACTCGATCATACCGGGTGCGCCTGATTTACATGTGAAGCAAGGCTCGAGTCTACGGTTGGAGTGTCAACTAATGGCGGCCGCCGAGTCGCCCGTCTACGTCTTCTGGTATCGTCAGGGTCGGATGATCAATTACGACGAGGAGCCGGGAGTGAAAGTCGAGCTGACGAAGAACGGTTCGATCCTGATGGTCAACAAAACGAAACCGTCGCACGGCGGGAACTATACGTGCGAGCCGAGCAACGCGAAACCCGCGTACGTGGTGGTTCACGTGATCGAAGGTGAGTTGGTGTCAGTCAACCTTCGTGATACGAGTACACAATCGACGACTAACGTAAAGTACGTGACTGACTGCGAGTCGCCAATAATTGCCCGACCAAAGACTGACCTATACTGCTTGACGGATTAGAATCGGTATATTGCTTCCTCGCATAAATGAACCAACGTGATCGATCAAAACTTGTCGTACTCCAATAAAACCCTTTTAAAAAAAAAGTCTTTAAAAGATCTTTAACCAGTTCTACTGTGTCGTGCTGTTAAAGGGCAACACGCGACAGCGAAAATGAAATAAAATCTCTCTGGTTCCGCGAACAAGCTGCCGATATTTTAGAGGTTTAATAGATATCCGGCGGAGCGTAGGGTATGACAAGCTTGGCCGAGCTTCTCCGCCCACCACGCGACATCCATGGACCATTGCGCACGTGATCAGACTACGGGACTCGACTGTCGCAGAACGTCGAAGGCAGGGGATGAAGTAAAAGAGGCTAGTCTGGTCTCGCGCTTCACCTTTCAGTGTCCAACTGGTCGAGCTCGTTTAAAACGTCGTAGTAGTTGCCCCCCGGGGGTATTTTACCGCTCTTGTGCGAAAGCTCTCCCTCTCTCGTACCTTCCCTTTCTCCCTCTCTTCGTCCAACCCCAGCTCGGGATCCCCGCAGGGGGAGAAGCTTCTTTTCGCTGTTATAAAGTCGAAGTTTCTAATCTCGTTTCAGAGGAGGAGAAACCAGCAGCGATGCACGGGGGCGACAGAAGGAACCTTAGCCCAGCAATTTTGGCGAGCAACTTTCTGGTGTCCCTCTTGGCGACCGTCAGCTGGAGGATACCGAGTTTCACCAGCCTTTACCCGACGTGAATCGCCGGCGAACTTACGGGAGTGGCAGCCGTTTGCCGTGGCCCCGCAACCTGGTCCACCGTGTCTACCACGATGACGACTGGGAACGATCGACGGGATCCATGGTGGGGGATTCTGCGTCCTTCCATTCGTAACCCAGATGGACTCCACGGGGACGGTGTTCCCTCGCCGGAAATAATATACGCAGTGCCAGTGTGCTCGTTCCCGTCTGTGTACGCGTGTATGTGAACCTAAAAACGTGAAAATCACGAATGGACCACACCATCCAACGCGATCGATTCGTGTGATCCGGGGGCCCACATGGGCAAAAAGGGACTGAGAACTCGTGTACGTTGCAGGACAGGGTTCCATTGGTCGGGACTTTAATCAGGGACGAATCCTTCTGTTCCCCTCACCATCTTGCCCCTTCGATCTCTCTCAATTTCTTCGTTCCCAGACTACGTGGACGCGATCGGAATGTCGCTTATCCCTCGGTTCCGGAATTGATCTAGGCCTCCAAACGCGTATAAGGCAGCACGTCTTGCCCGTGGATCTTCTTGCAGGTGAGAGTAACGCGTGCGTCGCGAAACTCCCACGAACGAAGAAGCTCCTTACTCTTTCTGTCGTACCGTTCAGACCCGCGACAGGACAGGGACTACTTGTTAGTATATTTCGGTGTGCGTGATGGGTGGAACCGTTTTCTTCGTACGTGCATTATACATATATAAATACATACATATAAATACACATAAAACATATATATATATATATATTCGTTACATACGCGAAATGCACGTATATATATGTACACATACGTTAGAGCCTAAGTTGCTGCGTGGACTCGACGGACGGATGAGTGACGTTCCTTTGTGATACGGAAGCCGATACTTTTCCCTTTTCTCGTGGTACTTCGAATCTCGTAGTCGGAAGATGTCCCTGCATCGACATAGTATTTCCTATCTAGGATATCCTTCCGATATTTCACGAGATCCGTTCGCCTTTTAACCGGAGAAACGAGAATATGTCGTTGCTCCTGTTATCAGGCAGCGATCGTACGAGAATATGGAGGGGATGGTTCGCCGTTTGTGATTCGTCAGGGGTATACTCGTGATCGCGTTGGCCGTCACTCGTCCGGGTAAATGGAATCAATGTAAATATTACATTCTAATTATACATTCAATAAAACATTACTCGTGAACCGTGTGCATACGATATTTCACCGTCGATTCCTCCGAAATCCGACGTAACTTTCCGTCTGATCTCTCTGACGTGGGTTGCCGGTTTTTCCGCCTGTTGACGGAAGACCAAGGAAGAGAGAGCCGGATAAACTTGGTCGTTTGTTTTCGCCATTCGATAGGGAAACGATGAGACAGGAAATTGAACGCAAAGTAGCACGCCCGTCGTGATACGAACGGAACCGTTCCGCTCTTCGGAAGGAAAAGTTATTTCACGAAACTCTCTATCTCTCTCTTCCTCTCTCACCCACCGCGAAAGTTGCGGGAATAGCTTCGGCCGATAGACGTGCGCGGTTTCGGCCGAAGTCTCGAAACTTCCAGCGAGCTTTAACACGCCCGGTGGCGAACGTTATTACAAGAGCCGGGCCCCGATATCTTGGCCTGGAATCCTGTGAAAATGGATTAAGTCAACCGCGAATCGGGCCACAGAAATATCGAAATCCGGGGAAGGGTCGAATGCAACGTCTCGCCTCGACAATGTTGCAGTCACGGTACGTTAGGTGTCTTGGGGCCGTTGTTGGGAAGCGATTCACCGATAAGAACACGAAATCGTACTTATTCGCGATCGATGTCGACCTCCTTTGCAATTAACGTGACGTGCACGTTCGCGATGGTTTCGCAATCAAGTACTGATTTGGCACACGGAAAGACGTGTAGCTGATTATTCACCTACCACTTGCTGAATACGTAAGTCCTGTGCTTGATGGCCGAGTGAGAAATTCATACTAATGATTTATGGCTGGGTAAGTGCCGTTATGCATTATGCATATGAACAACAATCAACTTGTAACTCTTGTCATTTTAATGGAAGCCGTTATTATTGCTACAGGAAATCTTGGATGAGAGTTCGAAGGCTCCTCGGCACTGAACATTGAATACTTCATAAACTAATGGCCATATGCAGCTGAAACAAATATCATTGGCTTCAAAATTCCTAAGTCTATCACTGTGCTAAACTTCATTAAAAAATCAACGTTACACCTGGGGACCTCTCCTTGTCAATGGCTTCGAACACTCATGAAAAATTTACTGTAGTCGTATTTCTTGTCTGATTAATCACCGGTTCATATCATTCAAAGTGTTAGTAACAATCTATATATTACTTGTTTGAGCATCGGATCTTGTCACCCTTGTCTGATCGGTGACGATCTTATACTACTTGTCTGGCGAGTGACACGCCTTTACTACTGTATTCTGTCTAGTCGTTCGGTGCAGGAAGAAATGATAATCTCGACATGGAAATCGCGATGGTCGTTAATTGTACCGAAAGTTGCCGCGGGGTACGAAGATACCAGGTGGAATTAGTACAATACGAAGTTAATTTAACAGGCAGGTGTTAATCGCCGCGGCACGGGTACGTCTCTCGTGCCTCGTCACGCCATGGCACGGTGCATCCAAGTTTCTTCCTACTCTTCTTCGACTTCGAGCTCTCTACCTATGTCCCTTAACCTCGTTCTGCCCGAACCCAACGGCCGCGCGTTTTCTTTGCTTATTTTCTACCTGGCCGAGCCGAACTTTCCGCGATAAAAGCACCGAAACTCTTTTAACGGGTGCTAAATTGAAACACCACTGCAATAAAATGGCACGGCCCTCCTAACTTCGCCTGTTGCCCAGCCCTTTGCAAAGACCGTTATCTGTTCGGTGACTCGCTACCAGCCAGTTGAATTGTTCGCTGCGAGTTCGTCCCCGATTTATAATAAAGAGACGAGCCTTCTTTCTTGCACCCTCCGTTGAACGTGTAGCTTGCGAAATCAGAACTCTACAGAATTCTTTCGCGATGATGGAAAGGCGCACGAAACAGATTCGTGATTACCACGTTGATGAAATCGTTATACCATGTTATTACCGGCGAACGTATCGCAACGCGCAATGAGTACAATCAACGAGGAATATATATCGAGGGAATATCGATATTAACTTGTCGATGCCGTGCTGCGTATTAATGATCAGCGCGAGCGTAACAAGTCGGCTATGGCTATTAAGTTCTCGGTGTACCTGAATGATTAATGTTCGTGGTCCTGTCCGAAGATTATAAACAAATAAAACAGATGAACATCTTAATTTCTTCACATAAGACGACATTAAAATATTTGTTTGACTAAAAGTAGTCCCCCGCATTACTAGTCTGACAACCATTGTCCTGATTTCATACAACACATACGCGTGTCTGATCGCATACTGTTCACTACTACTCCGTACCTCGTCGACTGACTTATTCGTCCCATTGTAAACGCATACCTACTACATTATATTCTTGTGCTGCTTACAGAATGTATACAATACAGACAGTATTGTAATACTGTCCCACTGGCGTTACCCAGAACTGTCTGACCATGGGCGTATCCATTCTCCTGGTTCCACCAAGATCAATTTCTTCCCGTAACCTACATAACAAAAACTTTTTTTCTTCTTCTCTCGATTTTATTTCTTTAGTTGACCTACCCCAGCCGCGATCCAAGCTTGACACATTTCGCGCGAAACGCAGCAGAATTTCGTGGATCTTTTAATCATGTCCCGACGTAAGACACTCCGCGAGCGAGCTCAGCTCGCGACCCGATTTCCCTCAGTCGTATATCTTGAACGATCCCGAATTCGAAGACCTTAATCCACGGCCCGGGACTCGGTGCGTAGCAGAGGTAAGCTCTTTATAGGGACAGCTTATATCCTGTACGAACAAGCGAAGAAGAAGAGGGATGGGACAGACGACGACGACGGTGGATGCTTCGGCTGTAAAGCCTCAACTTCTCGCAACTTTCGCCGGAGATACCGCTCCACATGGGGGAAGGGGGGTTGAAGGTAGACGTGTAACGGCGCGTAGAACCGTTGCAGAGGAACGGAGTTGGAAATGTTCGAGGAAAGTTCGCCGTTCTCTCAAAGAAGAACGAGTGCCACCGTCTCTCGGGTGCACACGTAATAGGGTAATTGAGGGAGCAGGCCGAGGTGTCTTGTCCTTCGGACACTCGTTACGAGCACCGCGAAACCACGGTGTCTCGCGACTCGGTCTGATTCGTCGACATTGTTATTGCATGGTAAAAATGCGGTTCCGTTCGATTAGGGAGTTTGGGCAAACCGGGGTGACAATAAACAATGAAAAATGACAATTCGTATAGCAAACACTTACTTATCAATAGCAGTACATTTTATTCCCCGTAATGAGTCTGTGAGACATTTAGTAGCGAAATTGTACGAAATGTGACAAGCAACAATGAAAAACAACTGAACGTTCGACGATAAATCTTCAGCGATAATAACACACTGTCAACAATGTTGCGTGATTAGATCCATAGAGAAAAAGAATGAAATTAAAACCATTTCTATCGGAATGTTGACGCTCGGGGTGTGACGAAGAGCGATAAAACCTAGACGATTATCATATCTATTCTTTGCGTTAATAATTACTATAATTCCGTGAACGGGGTTGTTTTTTTTTGCAAATAAGGATACGGACTTTTGCGTGGCAAACGAGAACAATGCACGACATAACGAAGTGCACGCGTTCCTCTATAATTTTCTGGCGTAATTACGATATTCGCGTAGTTGTGCCAAGCAACAACAGCTGGACTTCATTTTGTTAGGTAAACACGTTGTATTCCTGCGCTACGCAAATGAAACAAGCGTTATAATTGCACGTTAATGGCTTTAATAGGTTGGATGCCTCTCGGCACGATAATCATTCGGGGTGAATTGTTATATAAATAATTACAATCATGAAGCTCTGATGATTCTGGGTTTTGCAAAATTAATTAGAAGTTATAAGGTAAACACAACTGTTTGTAATTTGTACTG